GATGTTAATGGAGCATACAGGTTACCAAATCAAATTTTAAAAAGAAGTAATTATTAAACAAAATAAAATAAAAAATCAAAACGAGTACATAAGAATAGAGACATAACGGGATATAACTTTAACCAGACAAGCTATCAGAATCAAATATAAAGTCATGGCCATAAAATTAAAGCAACCAAAAGTCATTAATTGGGAATTTAATTTATTAGTTTTTCAACCTATAAAACATCAATTCATACTATTTTTACCAAAATAAAAATAATAATAATAATAAAGTGATTGGTTGTGCTCCCCCCACTCACTTACTTTCTACTAATTAATTACATCTTTTATAAATTTCCCACCCGTTCCTTTTTTTTTAAAAATTTTTATGTACATGATCTAATACATTTATTTAAAGGGTAAAAAGTAAAATGTTAATTGCATAAACCAATTTATTTAAGTAGTTAAAGGAATCGTTGTTGTTTCTAAAGCTCACAAGTTCGAGCACTAGCAACTGCAGTATGGTGATTGAATGTTCACTATCAAATAGTTGGAAGTATTTAGAATATATATTACTTTGTAATCACCTTAACTTAATAACAAAAATGTAAAATATTAATTATCCAGATTTTGTGGACTTCTATGGGGCTTAAATGAACACTAAGGGGGTGTTTGGATGGGGGAATGTGGGATTCTTATGGGAATGGAATCCACATTCCCCCGTTTTGTTAGCCTGAGAATCTCATTCTCGGTAATGTAAGATTACTAATAGTGAATTTTTTGGGGTATATTATCGGGAATGTCATTATCTCCTTTTTCTTAGGTATTGTTGGATTACCGGCTTTTTGGACTAAAATGTCCTTATTTTTTTTTCTTTCAAAAGTATCATTCTTCTGTTATTGAATAATAAAAATTGTACGAAGGTTAAATTACAAATTTATTCTTAAACTATTTTAGATTTACAAAAAAAAAGTCTATAATTAAAATTTTATATGAAGTTCAGGGGTTAAAATAAAATTTTACCCTTTCATTAAACCTTTTTATATTTTCAATTTTGTAAAAAAAATTATATAAATTTTATGAATTTAAATTTTTTAAAGAAAATATATAAATATTTTCCAACTTGTTAAAAAAATATATAATAAGGACAATTTGGTCAAATATACATTCCAATAATCTTTTATTTTTTAATCAAACATGATAATCTTACATTCCTGTTAAGCCAACCAAACACAAAATACAACATTCTCAGTAATCTAATTCCCTGGTAATCTTATATTCCCACTGGTAATCTTATATTCTCACTGATAATCTTACATTCCTACTGATAATCTTACATTCCTTACACCAAATGCACCCTAACATGTTGTCATCTACAATATAATTACTACTGATATGCTAGTTGAGATTAATAACTCGATGAAGGGGTAAATTTGCATTTTATAGAGTAAAAAATGGCTTGATTTTGGATTTTACAGAGTAAAAGAATTGATTTGATTTCGATAAAAGTAAAAACAAAAGCTTTAAATTTCTCGTGCAGTCCAATACGTACCTCATGGCATGGTATTTGGCTTTATTTATCTTTTGCTTTTTGCAATGACAGGGGAATGACTGAATACCCACTTGCTTGACATAATAATTAGTATATTATTATATATTTCATGGAGAAAAAAAAAGGAAGAAACCAGTTTATTTCTTAAAACTAAGCAATTTGTCAGTCTTTGCTTTTCAAAACAATAAAGATACCAGAAAAAATGGTCCCTAGCTGTGACCTTTGCCTTCAGGGCTTCTTAATTATCCTTGATGACCGCCACGTTGCAGTTTTACCGTTCTCCTCTCCTCCAAAATTTCTACTAATTTCTTTTAGGGTAAATCATACAAATGATTTCAATTATAGGGTAATATTTTCTAACTTTTAATAGTTTAAGGATTTAATAAAATTGTGTCCTATAATCGGGAAACATTTGTATACTTTACCCTTTATTTTAATTGTTTAGAGTGATCACAAGGACGATAGTATTGTTAAAAATAATAGTCATTGATAATACATATTTCCTTCAAGATGTAAATACTCAAATATGAAACATCTGTAAAAAAAAATAACATTTTATTTTACCATTGAAATCGCTTGATAGGTTCTTATAATTTTAGCTTAATTAAATTAATAAAACTAAAAATTTCCATAGTCAAAAGGAATTAATTAATTCTTTTGTGGTGACCATAATTAACTAAATCAAGTTAGTTTTTCTTTATATGTTTAATTTCAAATTGATAGGTATTTTTGGTCACTGAAGTTATTTTCTCTAAAAAATACATGAACCGTCGACTAGGTTAAAAAAATAGTGGATATTTATAGTGAAAATACTAGATTTTTTGGGCTGGGTAACTGTCCCACTATTTTTTTTGAATTTTCGGGTCGTGCCCATATCACAAAATGTTTCTTAACCGGGTACCCACCGACCCAATACCTTATTTATTATTTTATTATTTTTATTTTATATTAAAATTTTTATTCACAACTCTCAAATTATTTCACTATAACATTCTAAATTCCTAATTTCTTAAATTTTGTCATCATAACATTCTAGATTCTTAATTTCTTAAATTATTTCACATTAACATTCTAAGTTATTTTAAAAATATTTATTTTTAACTTGGAAAATTTCAAATTTAATTATATTTTTTTATTTTGATTTTTAATAAAGTTTCTATCAATTATGTAATTTGAATTTTTAAACTTTAAGTGTGGATTATATATTATAGAACTTTAAATTTTAGAATTATATATATATATATATTTTAAAATATATATAATTTAAAGAAAAAATAAAAAATTATGAACCGGTACCCATAACCCAAAAATACAGGTATCCAGATGTAACAGGCCGAGACACAGACCGACATTTTGGTATCCGAAAATACGGGTACCGGTTTTAAACACCTCTAACTTTGGCCAACTTGCCAAATATGCTTACTTTGAACATTCACTACCTTATAATCACTTTAAAAATATATATATAAAAAAATTGTATTGTTGCTTAGTTTAAAATAATCTTGTTTTATAAAATAGCAAAATCCGGCAAAGCTTTCCTTGCACAATGAAAGCCATGGTTTTTTTTTTGGTTTCCTTCGAGTTCCAAGGTTTCGCTCCCCGGGTCGCACACTTGGTTTTGGTGAGTGAGTCTCCTAACGGAGATTTTTTACATATGTAAGAACTTGAACCTGAGATTTTACTTAAGCGATATTAAGCTGCTTACCACTTAAACCAATCACGTTGATAAATCCATGGTTTGAGTAAAGGAATAATGGTTGAAAGGAAAGCATGACATTATTGTGCCGTTTAGACAGTTGTATTATATTTGACTATACAAAAATCCACGTGGATATTAATTTACCAAAAATTCCCACCACGATCCCTAAAAAACACACAACTTTGTCTTCAACTTATCCTGCGCATCTCAAGCTGCCAAATTTGTATCCATTACTTGTTCTAGGAGACCCAAGGTTACTGGCAACATAAATTGACCCAAAAACCCTTAATTATTGTCCACAAAATTAGCTTGATAAAGAAAGTGATTTCATCGTGTCCTTGCTTAATCACAGGGGCACTTTAGTCTCTTCGATGCTCCGAAGTTGCGGTCCTCGATCCACGACTGTGACCGAACAACAAATAAATTGGACCCATTTTTCTGCTATCCGACGTAATTATTATATCGTGAAAAACACGAGGTTTTGTACACAAATCGAAAATTATTGAAGCCCTAATATATGAACCAAAGGAATGAAATTTTGTGCTTTATAGAAGGAAACATCTGACTGGGGAACAAAATTTTTGGTAGGGATCTTTCTGTATATAAAACACTAACTAGATCAGATGTTCTTGTCTTAAATTCCCTTTCCTTCTCTACAAATATTACTTTTTTCTACCTTCTTTTCCGATCATTCTCTTTCCATTTTTGTGATTAAAGCAGTGTGCTGCGAGTTTAAAAAATTTCAATAATTGACGACATATATCTTGACGCAGTTGCTTAAATTCGAGAATTTTAAGGGAAATAATGATTTTTTTTATCATTAAAATGTTTGATGGGTTAAAAGGTTAAAAAGATTCTCCAAACAAAACACGGATGATTATCTAATTCGTTTAGAGGCTATTTATGTGGGGAAATACTGTTGAAAATTCCGAAACCCTTGCTCAAAATATGGAATAAAATCAATAAGTATCCTTTTGTTTCAAGGAAGCTTCCTCTCGGCAATTAGACATGGCAATTTGCAGTTTAGCGTTCAATCATTCTTTTGAAAAAACAAAACATCAAAGTCTCTATGGCTTTATTCTTAATATTCTTTATTGAGACATCAAAGGAGCAGAATGTCGTCATTATCTGATACAAATTAAATTCAAAACGCATTTTATAAATTGCACCACCCTCCAACCAATAAGGGAAAAACATGAAGAAAAAAAGTTGTACCGTAGATAACATCGAATACCCATCTTTATAGAGATGATACGCATGATGAAGCGCTTCATTATAGCGACGTTATATAAAAAACGTAGCTATATAACTAGACCACAGGCGTCGTTATAAAACTAAAAAAACATCACTATAAATATGTTTTGCTATGAGCTAATGGACCAATTATAAATATGGTCCAACCATAGTAACCTAACTGGAATTTGAGGGATTTCTTTATGTGGTATTATAATTTTTTGGCCATTTTGCTTTTGTCTAAAACTTTATAAATAAACTTTGATGATATGTTTTTGGAGAAAAAGGATCGAAAGCTTTTGCTTTCCATTCCCTCTTTCTTTTGTGTTTTACCCAATTAATTTTAATTAAGGTGATACACTACCATTATTTGTGAGCTTATATTTAACATTCGAAACCCTTTTTAGTGTTTTTTATTCCTTTGTTCACAAGACACAAAGTGTAAAAGCATACAAAAATGATTAAAAAAAAAGGAATAGGTGAGATCATAGACTCAGCATTTGGATAAAAAAAAAGCTAAAAATTATAAGGGAAATGTAAAGTGCCCCATTACAATTACCAAGGATCACTTCAAATGTAGATCATACTTTTATGATCGTTAAAGCCTTAAAGGGGACGTCCTTCTCTCTCTCTCTCTCTCTCTCTCTCTCTCTTCTTCTCTCTATCATTTTCTTTCTTTCTTTTTCTTCTCTCTAAGTGCAGAACATACAAAATCTGTTAGATTTCATATTTACGAAGGAATATAATATATTGATTTGGATCTCTCACGGACGTGGTGCTTTTTCTTCTCTCCTTTTGTTGCTCTCTCTGTCTATCTTGTCTCCTTGTCTTCTCTCTTTTTCTTTCTCAAGGGTACCTGATTCTCTTCACCCTCTTCTCTCTTCACAGTCAGAGATGTATATAATCATCGTTTCAAATCCAGCACCACAAACCCTAAGTCATAAAAATATATCATACTCAGTTTGGCACCCCCAATGTGAACTCCAAATTAAGCTTCTCTGACGAGCTTAAGCACTTTGGATCCATATCCTTCTGCACCCAAATAAACGAATATATAAATCTTGGTCCGTCCCTAGCCGATTTATGTAACTGCAGCTCCATTTTGTCATGCAAATGTACGACAACGCAAAAGTTTTATGGTGAAGGTTATTTTGGGAAATTAGAACCTGGAGAGAAGGTGAAGAATCCTTGGGTTTGCCATGTAGCCAAGCTTCCCTGTTAGGAGCCAACAGAAAGAGAGAATATTTGCTATTAGTGGAAGCCATGCATGCATGCAGAGGAAAAAAGCAAATTGAGAAAAGAAATCTATCTTTTATTGTCTCGTTCATGGTTGTTGCTCTCTCTCACATACACTTTACATTTTATGCTGATTGAAAATAAAGTGAAACCCATGTGATTTCCCATTACTCATGAACAAGGTTCAAAGCAGTAGCTTTAATGTTCAATAAATATTTCCACTAATTGGGCCACCACACGGTGTAGCTTTGAGACTAAGTTTTCCATTTGTAGGACCCTACCCGAGCCCACAAAATCATAAGGAAAGAGATATCTCCATTTTTTAGGTGGATTTGTCATTTCGGAATTTGGATTCTCTCCAGTCTTGGAATATGATAAGGTGATCTGTGGACTGTGGCCTCCTTTATTTATCTTACTCCCTTTTTAACACACACCCACTCACTATCATTTCCCTTTGTGCCCGAGCATAATATTAAATCTACCTTAACAATTTTTAAGATTATCGTGATATCATAATCGTAATTTAAAAATTACATTATAACATCTGCATCATTCATAATCGTATTCGTAATTGTAATTTAATATGGTGCATGAGGTTCTTAATAACTAGTAATATTATAATTGTTTTGGCATTTGCGTGTGAATAACTAAAGTATTTGCATGTGATAGTGGAGAGAAAGAAAGCCTAGATAAAGCTAAAACTATACGAGAGAGAGGCAGAAAGAAATGGGATCTTTTAGTTCCAATTCTAATGCAAATATTCTTACATATATATATATATATATGAAAGAGGCAAACTGTTGTCAGTTCCAGTCAAACATACTTTGTGATATTTTCTAAAATGTTTCAAGCAAACTACATGCATTTTCTGATTAAAAATCTTGTTTTAAAGTATATAAACTACATGCATTCTACCATTTATGCTTCTGTGGTGGTTGTGAGTTGTGACATCGATCCCAGTGTATCATTTGATTGTCACTATTGTTTTCTTTTTCCAGAAAAGAATTCAGAGTAACCAATGAGTGAGTATACGGGAAGGAAAGAAATGAAACAGAAAGGACAGGCGCACACTGATTGGTTAACCAAACTAGTGTTACTAATAGTAGTATCGTAGTACGCAGCAGACTAACCTTGATGAATTGCTCCACAGTCCATGGTTGTCTTGTTGAGCATTTGACGATGACGATCTTCCCTGATGAACTGATGATATCTCTGATCTTCTCGGGTTCTGAATGTCAAACATCATATCTTCAGAAGTATCCCCAGATGATCCATTTTCAAAGGCATCCGATTGCCCTGCTTAATCAAACCCAGATTTCAACACCATACATACATTTATATATATATATATATATATATATATATATATATATATATATATATATATATATAATCCAACGTGAATGAGGATGAATTATTGGTTTACTAACCTGATGATGCAGCTGCTCTGTCAGTGGTCTTCACAGTTCGATACATCTGCAGGCAAATTAAGAGTAGTATTATGAGTAAGGTAAATAAAGTTTAATTTACCTTCATCTTTAGCCCTTTGAGTAGATAAAATGATGGACAAATAAAGTAAAAACCAGAAAGTAGACTTAATAGTAAACTTTATTTGTGTATCACAGACATTAGGCAATGTGAAAGAGTGCATGCAAACTAAGTAAGTACGAACTGTAAAAAGAAAGAAAAGGGAAACGAATATGTAGCCGAGCATAGAAAGCTTTTATCTTTGTATAAAAATGCGTGCATTTGTGAAACGAGAAACAGTTGAAATAACTCTTGATTTAACCATGGTTGAGGGAGGGAGGTTAAAAGAAACCTATCTGAAGAAGATATCATTGAGAAATGATAGTGTCCTTGTACTTCATCTCTCCCCCCCCCCCTCCCTCTATATCTCCCTCACCGTGAGGAAAAAAATAACTTTTTTATGAACAAAAACAAAACAATGAATTTAAGTGAGAAACTTCTCTCGGCTTAGTTATTGACTCGGTTTTTGAATACCTTGGGTTTTGTCTTACTCATTTTATTTTATTTATTTTGAAGAAAATGATAATTTACTACTGCTGCTGCTGTCTCTCTCTCTCTCTCTATAATTGAATTCTTTTCGTTTACAAGGGCTGGTTCATTCTTCCAAGCAAAAAGCTGTTTATTAGCTTGCAGAATCATCAGATCTAGTAGAAAAAGAAGTGCTGAGGATTTGGGAGACCCTCTGCAAGGAAACATTGGAATTTGTAATCTATATTATTAACATCTTCCCGTGATGCTGACTGTTTAAAATTGCAAACTCAGCTTACTTCCACCATTAACGCTGTGCATCATCAGCTTGAGGAAGTAAGCTCAGGAGAAGAAAACCAAAGTTGCAGATAAATTCAACTACATCCTTCAAGATTGTATTCGTATTTCCTTTTATTTTAACGAAAACCCTTGCGGGTAGAATGCTATTTTTACCTGAAGATGGGATTTAACATGTGCCAAGGTAAGATCTTTGACATCCATTAGCTCAAGAACTGACTTGGGAGTAGCTCCTGAAATCGTGACAAGAAGAAATATGAGAGAGGAAATAAGCATAATAGCTTCCTTTTCTGTTTCCTGTTCTCCTAGAGATGCTTAAAATCGAAACAAGGCAAAAGCGAAAGAAGGGAAAAAAGGAGTGAATAGTAGAGAGAGAGAGCATACTTTCATGACCACCCAATAGCTCAACGGCATGAACAAAGCGAGCATGGAGTGTAGTAGTCCATCGCATCCTCGGAGCTCTCATGCTTCGTTTAGCTGGGAACCTGGACATGTATCTTGATCTCATCAATCCTTGAGACTGAAAGGAGTTGAAGCTGGTGGTGTTAATTTTGTTAGTTGCCAAATAAGGAGAGGAAGAAGCTAAAGATGAATCCAAGGGCTGTTGAGGAAACTGGAAAGGAGGAGGAGGGTGGTTTTGGTAGACGGGAATTCCCCTTATGGGTCTCAAGAACCCAAACTCTTGTCCTAGCCCTTGTTGTTGATGCTGCTGATGTTGATACAGTACCGGATGTTGCTGTTGGCTGTGATGGTGAGGGAACTGGCTCTGCTGATAAGACCGGAAAATATTACCATTGCAATCGGTGGTGGTGGCGCTCCCGTTTTGGACAAGGTGATGAAACTGGTTGGGGTTCGACCCTGAAACCCTCGGATTCGAGAAGGGCAGCTCAAAGCAGTTATCGGGTTTCGCCATTGAAGACACGGAGTTCCTCGATGTAGGTTTGCTGTTTGGTGGACTGATTTGCAAAGATAAATCTGGCTGCGCAGGGAACAGCTCCATCTTTCCGGCCCCTCCCCCTTTCTTGCTACTGTTGTGTTTTTCAGATACAGCAATAAGCAGATATGATATAACTAAAGGATTTGGTTAGGTCTCTAATATAAATATACAAAGGAGATGAAGAAGAAGAGGTGATCCAAGCCAAGCAGCAAAAAGGTTTCAAACTAGGCTTATCTTCCGATGGAGCTGATCAGTAGTTGCAGAGATTGGAGATTGAAAAAGAGAGAAGAATATGTGAGAAATGACACTTGAGAGAGAGGAAGATGAAGAAGAAGAAGAAGAAGAAGAAGAGCAGTGTCATATAAGTAGAGGTAAATGTTTTTTTTGGGGGGTATATAGCATAGGGTACTACTCTTCTTCCTCTCCTAGACCCTGAAAAAAGGAAGATAAAAAAAACAACATTAAAAAACTTATATATAAGTTAAATTAAGAGACTTTCGATTCCTTTTCTATTAACTCTCCCTTTCTCTTCTCTTTCTTTTCCATCTTCCCCTCTTTTTCTTTTAGAGAAGATTTTTCGTATACTAATAATAATACTTTAACGTGTGCATTTGTCCCTCAACTACTCATGCTTACCTTTATATAACACCCATGCACTCTTTTTCCTCTAACTCTTTAACCCAATCCTACTGCTCTGCTCATCTCATCTCATCCTCCTTAGTTACCTAAACTCCAAAACCAAATTAAACTGCATTAACATTGCTTATATCAACCAAACATATATAATTAAAACCCATCAAATTTAATATACTAGGCAAAATTCAAATTCCCTAAAAAACTTTGTAAAAATTATATTTATATACTGTTGATAACGTTTAAGATCAGGAACATGCACATGATTTTATGTTAGAGTTAAACTTATAAAATTTTAGAGGACGAGATAAAAATAGATTACCAACAGAAAATTTTAAAAATATATATCTAAAATATAAATAATTTAAAACTTTTAAAAGAAATGACTGTCCCGACCACCTCTCTCAATTAATTCATGTATATGATGTGATTTAATTTTTTTAATAAGCACACAAATGGTCTGTCGACTATAGAGTATTGCTTTATTAAATCCATCGACTATTAAAAGTTTCATTATGTTCCAAACTCATCATTTTCGTTAAAAATTGGAGTCGTCTATGATAATCGTTTGAGATTTCATCATATCACAATCAGTAGATTAATGTTCAGATCAAAATACTGTCAAATTTTTTAATGGAAAAGAACGAGTTTGAAACGTGATGAATAGTTAAGTGACCATTTTGTAACTTTCAATAATCAAGAGACTCAATAAAATAACATTCTATAATCAGATGATCATTTTGTAACTTTCATAGTTCAGCCACGGTTTTGGAATTGAAATGATGCAGGGTGAGTGATTAATATATACCTTTGATTGCAACCACTCATTTAGGCATAATGAAGCCACTAATTCCCACATTTTTTTTTACTTTCGGTACGTATGTTTGTACGTATTTGAGTTGGGTCCCCACCACCCTAATTTCTCTTTTCATTTTGTCATTAACATTTTAACTGTCTCGTGAGAATCCTAAAAGGCTATCATAATAACTAATAATTTTAGGGTAGATGTGTATAATATATGGTCTCCTAGTAGACGGAAAGTCAAAGTAACCCCCTCCTCTATAAAGCAGAGAGTGTGGTATTTTCAAGGCTGGAGATGTCATTTTATAGAGTGATAAATAGTACCCCGAGACCCCGGTCGCAGCCTAAAATGTTCAATGGACAAAAAGGAAAATGTGAGTGAGTAGAATGGATGAATTAAAGCGTCATCCTGATCAAAAGGCAATAAATACTATTTTAGATATATGAGTCATAATTTATTACTACAAAGCACATTTTTGGGTTTCGCTTTGCAAAACTTGCATCTTTCATGTGCAAATTACATTTTGCCTTTTAGAGCCCATCTTATGCTTTTATTCATTTTCATTCGAAATATAATTACCAATATTTGATCTGTTAATTGATTAATCTGAATCAGATAACTGTAAAGATTGTGATTTGAACATCTGATCTTACTTAAGGGATATAGTGTCTTATCTCACTGGACCAACCGATTATTGGAGCCATTTTATGTATATTATACACAAATTCTCTTAGAGTCTATTTTAATGTTAATGTTTTATTCAAATATATTTCGATTATTACTCCTATTGTACATTATATTTATAATAGTTAAGTACTATTGTAACTATTCAAATTCTAATTATACTCTTAACATTTTACGAAATAAAACATGTATACTGCATAACAAATAACAAATCACCGAATACAACAATACCAATTTGAATTTACATGGTCTTTAGTATTGTCCTTTTACAAAAGATAGTGCCCACGAGTGTCTTTTGATTTTATAACTAAAAGTTTAAATTAAATTTAATTCTATGATTAATACGATAAAATTGTAAAAATAAGAATGTTAAATATACTTCAGATAACTCCTTCACTAGTAATATTTTCATCAAGCAATGGTAAAATTAATTTTCATGGAAAAAAAGGATAAATCTCATGTAAATATATATGTATGGTCAGCTTTGATTTCATTTTCGATGCTTTCAGTTATATCAATGAACAGTGCGTGATTTTTTTTATATTTTCTATAATTATAATTTATTAAATTGAAGTTGAAAGAATTATTATTAAATTGAAGTTGAAAGAATTAATGTTTAAAATATAATACATCTATCTATCTATCCAATTGGTTATTTAACGATCATTGCGTATACTAATTCTTTTTATAGACATAATTCTTGATTTTAAAGTTGATAATTGATTTGCATGCCTTTTGATTAGTTATATGTCTTTATTTTTATATGATATTGAATATTAATTATACTTTTTTCGTAGTATAAACAAATATACATTTTTCCTACTTTATTTATTTTAATAACATTTTAAATTCAATGCAAAACTTTATACACGATAATTAATTAAATGTTACAGTTATTAGGGAAAAGCAAGTATGTACAATCTATATATATGTAAAAATTTAGAATTTCCGTAAATATTATTTAGTAATATCATTTCAAAAGGATTTTGTTTTTAAATGGAACTGAAATAAAGACGTGATAAATTAACAGGGTTGATTCAAGTGGTAAATAGATTGATATCATTTAAGTAGGTGTCGAGTTCGACTCCTTGTATATGTAGAAAATTCCTGCTAAGAGACTCATCAAAACTAGGTGTGCGAACCAGATCGATCTAGATTAGTCAAGACGAAGCCTAAAAAGCAGAAAATGCAAAAAAGAAATAAAGAGACGTGATAAATTTTGTTTCCAGTTGAACATTGCTGGGGTTTTTCAAATTGCTTAAATTGTTGAAACATTGTAGCTCTGATGTTCCATCATCCATGGAGACCATTCATCACAGACCACCTAGCCCTAGTAATAAATATATTACCCCTCTCATTTACTGTAGTAAAAAATTCTTATCCGACAAAGGTTTAATTTCTAAAACTTTTGCATGGACTCAGACGTCAGAATCTTCATTAGATAGTAATTACTAATTTTAATTATGCATGCATGTATGTATGTGGTTCTCTGATTGTCAGATTCGATGTGTCTTGAATGTATGGTGCCCCAAATGCCATGAGATTAAATTAATGACACACACTAATGTTATCAGCTGCCCAACATACTTCATGTTTAATATTCTAATTTTGGACCGACATCAACCATACATACCAATGTCTTCTTTTAATTCTTTTGAGTCTGCATATTTATAAATTTTTATATACTGTCTATTGATTAGAGGTCGTCATCCGGAAAAAAAATTAGACTCGAGACCCAATTAATAATATTAATGAAATGGCCTTTTTAATATTGGGTAAAGTTCGCATTTAATATCTAAACTGTCAGTTTTGGTCCGTTTTAGTGTCTAAACATTCAATATTTTTTCAAAAACATATATTTTTGCTTCATTTCAGTACACCTTTTAAAAATTTAACATTAAGTTTTGAAACAAATTGAAAATTTAGGTACTAAAACGGAACAAAATTGATAGTTTAGTTACTAAATACGTTAAGTTTTTAATGACAGAGTACTAAAATGAAATAAAAACTAAACATTAGGTATGATTTTTTAAAAAAACTAAACATTAGGTATGATTTTTTTTAAAAACTAAAAGTTTAGGTACTAAAACAAGTTAAAATTGATAGTTTAAGTATTAAATATGTAATTTGTACTTTAATATTATACTTTCTTTAATAAAAAGTAAGGTAAGTTATACAAATGGTCACTAATTTTTAGCAAGCTTTTGGTTTTTCCACTAAAGTTTTAAAAATGATAATTTGGTCACTAATATTATCGAATTATAATAAATCTGTAACTCGACATTAACGGTCGTTAACGTGGGTGATAAAAAGCTTATGTAGCTCATTAATCGCTTACTTGACAATGTCAACCATCACGCTGGAGAGCCCATTGGACTCCCTGTTGACAACTCTTCAACTTTAGTTTCATCCCTTGCCAAAACAAATTATATCTATGTTTCAACTTGAGTTTTTAAATTTTCTTGTTCTTGGGTTCTTCACAAGAAACAAACATTTCATTAGCTTCCTCAAAAGATTCAACTTTGCTTTCTTCTCTTTCCACTTTCCCAACATCATTCTCTTGTTCCTCTTTCTCTTTATTTCCATTTTCAACTTCTTCTTCCTCTTCTTCTTCTTCTTGTTATTTATCTTATAACACCCCAAACCTTATGTAAGTAGTTTCGGGCTGACTCGAGAGGATTTTTGGATTAATCCATTAGTGTCCAAATTGAGTTGGTTTGGACTTGAGTTGAACCCAAACAGAGGTAAAAAGGGTTAAGAAAATGAGAAAAGAAGGCGTAGCTTTCTCCCTTCTTCTTAACCGTGTGATCTCATGCCCATTAATGATACTCAGTCTTCGAAACCTAAATTGGACGATCCACCTCCTTGATATTTCTAACTTTACCACCAACTCAAAAATACTTTTTTTTACCTTAATTTGAGTTCAATTTAAGCACAAACCAGCTCAATTTGGATCAAGTTAAACCTCCTACATGGCTAATGGGTTAACCCAAAGTTTCTTCTGAGTTAGTTCAAAACTACTAACCCGAAACATTACATATTTTTTAGTAGTGAAGTTTCCCTTAACATATTATCAAGAACTATTATTTTAATAGGATCAGATCTACACCTCATCAACAACAAAGCACTCTTGGGTGGAATGCAAAGATTCGCCATACTAGTTGCTTCTCCCCCTTTCTTAGCTTCATCATCACCCATAATTTTGTTACCAAAATAATTTATTA